TGATGCTGATGCTGGTGCTGATGCTGATGATGATGATGATGATGATGCTGATCATGATGATGGTAATGATGCTGATGCGGACGATGATGACTACAGTCAGCCCGCATAGTAAGGACGTGCATTCTTCCCAAGGGTACCCTTGCATCCTTACCTCCTCGGTCCATCCTTCGCCACTTTCGTTGGCCGCGCCCCGCTCGAGAAGCTTGGTAACGGGCGTCCAAAGCCCCACCTTTATCGCGAATCCTTAATATACGGGCTGATTGTAGCGGTTCGGGGGCGAGCGGGAGGAGAAGGAGGGCCCACGTGGTTCTCAGGGCGGCCACCCCAACCGCGGCGCTGATCTGAGGAGCCCTCATCATCTTCGCTACGCTGAGGAACAAAAGCAGAAAAGGGCCCGCTGCTCATGCCGCCGCTGAGCCCTCTCAACAGCTGCTTCCGCTCCTCCTGAGCTCCTCCTGCTGCTTCTGGCTGGGGTGGGCTCCGGGAGGTCTCCAGCCCAGACCTCCTCGCGTCGTGAACGAGCTTACGTTTTGCCTTTGTCGCGCCGCCGATTCTGGCCCGCCACGCTTCGGCGCGACGCGCTGACCACGTGCCCACTTCCAAGCGTCGGCGCCCCGAGCCTTTCCCAGCTCCACGCCCCGTGGAGCGGAGCGGCACGCTGATCGCTTGCAGGGCACAGCATGTCGCTGGGGCTCCCGCCGCGACACGCCGAGCAACATCTGCAGCAGTGGCTGGCTTCATTCTCAGGTCGCTCATCCTTCGGCATCCTTGAGCTCTTGCCAGGCCCCGGGACACAAGAGTGGATCCCGGCGGTGGAGCTCCGGGTCTGCCCCCTTTGTCCGACGCGTGCCCCTCGGAGTGGCCGCTCCCCCGGGAGCCGACGTGCAGGTCGCGTGCGGCGACTGCCTGCTCTTCCTGCTCCCCGTCTCAGGCCCGACGGAAGGAGTAGGATGCGGTGGTGGCGTTCGTTAAGGAATGTGCCCAGGAGGCTCTAGACCCTGGAGGGTTCCTTGTCTGATGAGGGCGGTGGTGATATCCATGGCCAAGCTTCGATTGGCGTTTTTCTGGCCTCCAGCCCCTGAATTCCTTACTTAAGGATTCCTTATCCAATGCCCCCATCGTCCGTAGCCATTTTGGTTCAAAGCCGTTCCCTGCTCTGCTCGCTCTCGTTTTGGGCCCCGCGGGAGGCCGCAGAGTTCGGGCGATTGGGGAGATGGCTACGGTCGGCTGCCAAGCTGCCCCTGTGGCGGCCGAGCAGCCTCGGCAGGCGGGAGGGGCCGCGGCTTCTCTCTGGCCAGCGCGCCGCGCCCGCCAGTGCGCTGCGCGCAGTGCTGCCCAAGGGAAGCTGGCGGCTGCCTTGGCGAGAGTCGCCACGCTCGAGGCCGAGCTCGCCGACTGCCGCGCGGTGCGCGGGGAGGCGTCGGCGCAGGCCGTACGGATCGCGGCTCTTCCGCTCGGCAGCCAGCAGGTCCCCGACGACGTCCTGGTCCAGGAGCTCGCGACGCGGCTGGCCCTGGCCGTGCCTGTGCTGATGGACATGCTCGCCGACCGCCGCGCAGCTGCAGTTGGCGCCGCTGTCCCTCGCGCTGCCCCCGCCGCGCCGCCCCCCTGTGGCGGCAGCAGCGGGACGCAGTGTGGCACGCTCGGCGCGGACGTCAGCGACGAGCTTGCATCGTCGCTCACCGTTGATGGGGCCGCTTCCTCGGGAGCATGCAGGCGCGTTCCGCCGCTGGCCACCGCCAGGCGGAATGCTGGCATGCATTGCGCTTCGAGGAGGGGCGCATCAATTGCGAATATGAGGTTGTCATCGCTCAATCGACTGCAGCGTAGCGGTCCAGGTTGTCGACCTCGGCAAGGACGCGGTGCTGGTGATCGTGGTCGTGCCGCTCTTCCTCAGCTTCGCCCTGCAGGCGCAGCGGTTCCGCACCGCCGCGTGCCTGCCCAGCGCTCGGCGGCCGAGGGAGTGGCGACGGGCTGGTGTGTGGCTCGCAGGCGCGGGCGCAGCCTGCCCGCTGGCGCGTCCTTCGCGCTCGCCGAGCTCGTGCGCAGCGCGGGTCATCCCACTGCGGCCCCGCTGGTTTCTGGGCCGCTTTGGTGGCACGCTGGCGTCGAGGGATTGGATGACGCGGCCTGGGCAAGGCCTGAGAGCAGCGGCGGCTTTGGCGAGCACCCTGCCCCTCGGCCTTCTGAAGGTGGTGCTGTTCATCCTCATCGCCTCCCTGATCCTGGTGCGGCGTGCAGCACTGCCTGCACCTCCTCGCCTGCTGCTTTCGCGGACCCCTCGATCGTCACGGCGTACTTGCTGGCCAACGAGTCTGCCGTCCTCAGCGGTGGCAGCGAGATGGCCGCTGGCGACATCGACGGCGAGTTCAGCATGCAGGAGGTCGGCTCCCGCAACCAGGACGGCGACAGGTCCTTGGCCTCGGATGCCGTGGCGCACGGCGGCTTCGACCTCTCCCCGCACCTCGGCACGGACGACGGCGTGGAGGCGGCTCGGCCCCAGCGCAACGGCGGCAGGAGCCTGGACGACGACGCCCTCCTCACTTCGCCTCCCTCGGGCTCCTGCTCCTGCTCGGGCGGCGGGGGGATCGATGAGGAGGACGGTGTGGGCGGCGTCGGTGACGGCTGCACGCTCCACGGCTCGGAGACGGTGGCGCGCCAGGAGCCCGCGCGTGGGCCCAAGCGGCCCCTGGCTCTGCGCCGCCACGTCTTCGCGGGATGCGTGGCCCTCACGGTCGACCGCGACATTCGGAGGCCGGGCTGGCAGGGCGCAGGCGGCGACGACGCCCCTCCAGCTCCCTCAGCCTCCGAGCGAGAAGCTGGGCGCCTCTGGCTCCGCGACACGTTCGGGCCTGGCTCCCCGTGGAGGACGTGGGCCAGGCAGGAGCGGCGGCGGAGGCGAGAGGCACAGCTCCAGCAGTAGGCGGCGGTCGACGCTTTCTCTCTGGCGAGCGTGCTCTGCGGTGCAGTCAGCCTCGCTTGCCTTGCTTGACGGCGTCTGAATTTGTTTGTGCATGATAAGCCCCAGGGTGATAGGTTAAAAAAATGCCCCCATCGTCCGTAGCCATTTTGGCTCAAGGCCATGGAGCGCCCGACGACCGCGAGTCGCCCGCGGCGTTCTGAGCGCGAGGGTCTCCTCGCTTTGGGCCAAGCCACTAATGTGTTGAGTAAGGGCACTGGTCCGAGCGGCGGCGGGCCCGTGGGATGGCGCCCCCCGCGGCCCCTGGCGGCGCTGCTGGTGCTCGCGGCGGCCGCGGCGGCGACGGCGCGTACTGGATCTGCGCCAGCCGTGCATGCAAGCGGTGGATACTATTCTCGTAGCACGTGCATCGGCTGCCAGGCCAAGGCGCCGCCCTGGGCCGTGTGCCACGCAGCCGCCCAGCCTGTGGTGGACGAGCAGGGCTGGGCGCGGCCTGGCAAGGGCAAGAAGGGGCGACGCAAGGCCCGCGCGGCGGCCGCGGCGGCTGCAGCCCCTGGCAACGGCTCGGACGCTGGCTTCGCCGAGAGAGCTGGTGGCTCAGGCGGGGGTTCGGCGTCGGGCGCCAGCGGGCGACTGGGGGCGCTGCAGCGCGACATCGAGTACTTCGAGGGCCCCCCCAGCCTGGGCGGAGGCCATGCTGGGCTGGTGGGGGAGCAGCTGGCGGCCCTCCGAGCTCAGCGCGACGAGCTGGCCGCGTCCTTGGCCGCGGACAAGAAGGCAGGGCTCTCGCGAGCTGCCAAGCTCCGCCGAGAGGCCAACTCCGCCAGCAAGGCCGAGCGGAAGGCGGCGAGCGCGCGGCGGGCTTTCGAGGAGGCCAACCAGGCCGTCGGCGACGCCGAGGCCGAGCTCCAGGCGGCGCAGGAAAAGCTGGCGCTGGCAGAGGAGCAGCAGCAGGCGGCGAAGGAGCGGCTCGCCAACCTGGAGGCTGCAGCTGCGGAGGCTAGGGATGGACAGGAGCGCCACCAGGTGTCGGGCGACGACCTTGCGGCCGTGCGTGGGCTGTTCGTGCAGCTGCGCGCGCTGCCGACGGCTCACACGGCGGCCAACTTCTCCAGCGCCTGGGCGGCCGCGATGCGGCAGATGGCGGCGGTCGAGGCCATTCGGCGCGCCAACTTGCGCCGGCGGAGCTCGCCCCGAGGGCGCGGGCCGCCGCCGCCAGCACTGTCGCGCTGAACGGTTCGGCGCGGGCCCAGGCCCAGACGGAGCTGGAGCAGCTGCGCGGCGCTGGGGCCTCGGATGACTTGCACTTCATTCAGGAGACCAGGTTTCACTCAGGCCGTGCGGCGGATGCCGCCAGACGATGGTGCCATCGGCAGCTCTCGGCTCTTGCAGGCGCACAGGAGACAATGCCGAGGAGGTGTCGTCGGGAGTAGCCATCCTGACAGGCCAGTTCCGCGGGGCGGCGCCCATTGAGCAGGACTGGGGCGACTTCGGCCCCAGGGTGCCGGCGCGACGCGTTGCCTTCGGCGACCTGGCGCTCGTGGTGGTCAGCATCTACCTGGGGCGCTCTTCGCGCCTGTCGGGCCTCAACGGCTTGACGGAGCCGTTTGTGGTGGGCGGCGATTGGAACCTGGAGCGGCATGAGCTAGCTGGATCCTGGCGCTGGCGGCCTCGGTCGGTTGGCGGGGCGATTCGGGGGGCCGAGCGCCCGACCTGCCTGGCGAAGAAGTACGACTTCTTCGTGGTCTCGTCGGCGCTGGCGGCTCTGGAGCCCCGCGTGGAGGCCCTTCGCCCATCCGCGCTGCACCCGCACGTGCCCGTGCGCTTGTCCTTCGCCCGCCTCGGCTCGCAGGCGCAGGTGAGGGCCCCTCAGTCGCCTCGGCGCTTCGACCTGGAGCAGGTCGGGGACCCCGCCCATAAGGGCAAGGCGGGGCAGGCGGCGGAGGACCTCTGCTGGGCGGCGCCGACGAAGGGCGACCAGGGCCTGCCAGAGGCGGCGGCGAAGGAGTTCTACGAGCAGGCGGAGCAGCACCTGATCGACCTCCTCGACCTGGGAGCTGATGCCGACCAGTATCGCTGGCGAGCCCGCGGGGTGTGGAGGGTCAGGAAGTCTCTGAAGGACTTGCAGCGCTCCGAGATCGCGCGCAAGGTCAGCCCGCTGACTCGGCACTGGATCTCGCTGGGTCGGCTGGCAAGGCAGCTGGCGGGGGCCGCGGCGCAGGTGTCGCCTGGCGTGGGGCACGCAGCCTACATGCACCACCTGGAAGCGGCGGCCGTCTCGCTGGTGCCGCACTTCGCCCAGCATGGCTGCACAATGTTCACGGCTTCGAGCATGCAGCTAATGTTGGGCGAAGTCAGGGCGTCGTCGAGTGCTGGCAGCTTCTTCCTCGATGCCATAGAGGCTGCCACAACCAATCACGTCCGCGCGGATGCCGCTGCTGCCCGCGTCCGCTGGCGCGACTTCGT